ACTCCAAGTGATGCACTCTAGGTGAGTCGCTCCTTGTTTGAGGCACGTTTGGCGCTTGTAGCTGATTCTGACATGTTTTAATGATTCTCATAATAGTAACATAAATCTGATTCTTGTTGAACTGGTTACTCAGCAATAAATTACGAAAAATAATTTGCAATCCATCTACATAGGAGAAAAAATTGGAGAAAGATAGGTAATTCTTTACGATACAGTCTGCTGTGGCACGCGGGTACGCACGGTACGCGCGGTACGCGCAGCCGAAATTGGAATACTGCTCAGCCATGTTGCCGAACTGCCACCAAAGTACAAACTCACAATGAAAACAAGAAAGTAATTTATTAAAGGTTCAAAACTTAGCAGAATTACGTCGATACAGGAAATAGTAGACGACACTAATAAGCTCATACATATGATTGTGCGCTTAATTTAGCTGGGGCCCAGCTGGGGCGATTGCAGTCAGCGGTTTGAAATATCAAATTAATTGTGTATGCATGCAAAGCTTTGGTTTCTCTATGGATGTCTATGAACGCGTGTGAGGTCTTAATCGGTTAATTCAAATTATGATGAGAATCGGAAAAGTAGTGAAAATATATCATCTTTATTACTAATTACTATTTATGTATTTAAGTATATTAAATGATTTGTGTACATGAAAAGGTTAAGGAAGTTGTAATATTAAGAAAGTGCTAATATAGTACTGGCAACTACGCGAAAAATTTCGACTGATACGCCGGCGCAAAGAACTGAATCATCATGGCGACCGTGGTTTTGTTTTGGAAATTGGTGAATTTCAGAGGGTGAAAAGTCCTGGAAAACGGCATTAGGTCGAAAAATGTTGTTTGTTACGAGATTTTCTATAAGGTGAGCATAGCCTTAATCGTCAAAACGGCAATCCTAGTACCAGATCGTATTGTAAAGGATTACCAGGCAATTGCCCCACTATCCTACTTGTGGTCAGAAAACGAAAGCTTACCAATGTTCCACACTAATAATGGAAATAATTAATAATAATAATATTTAAGCGAAAACAAACGATATCAGGTGTCTTTAAACCCACTGAAACATTTTTTTTTAAGAATACAAAAAATATAAATGTTTACATTAGGGATGAATTGCATTACACATATGATTTGCAAATCTTCAAGAGTGTTCTTAAAAAGGAATGCAGGAAAGCTATAATCTTTAATAAAATGCCCAAGCCAGACCACTCAGGTCACAAAGGAAGAGGAAACAAGTTGCCAGCCGTTCAAGACACTGAAAAAGCAACTTGCCAATTAATTCAAGAACTTCTGTCTGTACTAGTATAATGCGCTTGATAATATGTTTTCAATTATATTTTCTAATACGTATTTCTATTCTATCCTTTCCAAAAGAGGTATTAATTTTACAGCATTTTTTTAAAGAGTTTTGGTATCAAACGGGGCCATATCCCAGTGTCAGTATCAGCCACATTGCATTCTCCATCCATTTTTTAGATTTTTACTCAAAAGTGAAACCGGTGGATGTTGCCGCTTTTGATACCAATTCCCTCTGTGGATGGTGGTTAAATTGTTGCTCTTCAAAACTTAAAATGAACAATGTTTAGCAATGTTGGTACGTTGAAGGTTTACCTTCCGTGGAAAGTGGAAATGCCATAGATCGGCCGAATCTTCTCCATGACAGATGCTCGAAAGATGCTTTTGTTTATTACAAGCAAGTTGATTCTTCTAAAGAAGTGGAAGATATAAAAGAAAATGAAAAGGAATGCAACTGAACAACTGACTTGAAAACCAAGCACCCCCAGCAGGCATGGAAACTATTGAGACTTTGAGCCAATGTTTCTCAAACCCAAACTTTTTCGAATCAATTAATAGCTAAAAAAGTTACGTTTCTTTCGTTCCATCAACTTTTTTCAACACAAAAGTTTCCTGTAACATACCACCGGCTTATTAAATCAAAACATTCTTGAAAACAAGGAAACCGATGTAGTGAAGTGAAGTTATGCAATGAAGTTAAGCAGATCTGATAAAACTTCATTGTGCATAAAACGCATGTAATCAGATTATGCATTTATATAACTCCTTTGAAAACACCCGAAGAATCGCTATCACTATTATCATCCCAAAGAATACTACGTATGTTCAATTAATTTCTTACGTAAGAAGACATAGCTGAGTAAAAAATAATACACACTACGAATAACTAAACGAAAATAATTGCCTAACCACGCTTCTACTACTTCAAACTTCGGGTTGAAATCTCAAAAGAACCCCGTCTTCGAGTTGAGTCAACCGTCACTGAACCGGCATTTCAACTGTCGGTTAGCGTTTATAATACCCAAACTGACTTTCAACCATGGGTCTCAACCGTACATTATAATACCAGCTCTAAGTGTTGTTCAAAGTGACGTATCGTCAAAGACCAGGTGTCACGGCACATAGACACACAGAGCAGCATCAAGTCTTAAGACACGGTATTACCCAGGCCATGCACAACAACTGACACTTCCAGTCATCGGATAATTGTCCTGATAACTCTACCGAGGAAAGGCTACATTCCTACCACGTATGTAAGATACACAAGACAATAGAATCTCTGATCTTCCGAACACCGGTACAAATTGAACAGGAATTAATTAGCCGAATACGAGAAGCTGCTCAAAATATGAGCCCAGACTGCTGCCAAGAGTGCACGATAAAGTGAGATTGGGGCACAAACATGTTTGGAGTTAAACGGGCAGACCTTCGAACATCTCCTGTGATTTAACTACTTCATTGTATATTAATTTGATCAATATTGATCATGAATGCATAACCTTTAACAGCACTGACGACAAAGAGACAAGTTTGAATCACCATGTACATAATGATTGGATTTTCAATGAAATACGCCGAATCAACAAACTAATTGAAAAAAATCAGTAATTAGTCGATGAAATATTTTCAGATATTTGAGCATCTAAAATCAACATTAGCTATAACTGAAAATTATGTTTTCAAAAACCAACCTTGGTGAAGATCTATAAGAATCGATCACATTTGCACTGTTCTGATCCTGGCTACTCGTTTCTTCTAAAACATCATTGCTGTCTTCGGTATCTGTTAGTGTATTGCTGCTAAATTGCTGATATTTTAACTTTTTAGAACTTCGTTTCTGTCGTTCGACTATATTGCCTGAATGCTGCCGTTCTATATGATAATTAAGTTTCGTACTGGAATAGTAACTTTTGCCACAAAATTGGCAGGATGGTTTAACGAAAATATTGGAATGCTTCACCAAGTGATGTCGTGTCAGAGACGATTTGTCCTTGAAACCAATGGAACCTGATGAAATGTAGTAAATAACAAAAAGAACACCTATAAATTTATCAAGTAGAGTACTCACAAATATGGCAAGAGAATGAAGCCGGGCGGTTTTTATTGTGCCTCAAAATATGCTTCTCCAGAGTTGCTTTCATCGGAAACGACAATCCACATATAGGACAAATGAAATCTCTGCTTCTTATGTGCTTTAACTGAATGTGAGTCTTCAAAGTTCCACCATCATTAAATCTCTGTCCACATAAATCACAACAGTACGTTCTAGGATTTAAATGAACCACTTGATGCTGAAATTCATTATCTTAATAATACCTCTTTGAAATATTGCATTTGTACATACTCGCTTTAAAAGCGGCTTTGTTTTAAAAGACTTATCACAGTCAGCACAACTAAAATTTCTTTCGTCATTGTGAACAGACAACATATGAATATGTAAATCGGACTTCTTCACGCATCTATGTCCACATTCTTCGCAAACATGTTTCTAAAATATTAGGCTGAATTTGAAAAACTTCTCAACCCTAGAAGTTATTAGTTCGTTATACTTTATGTAATGCCCAGTGAGCGCTAAATTCGTCTTCCGGGTATTTGGCTTTACAAATTCGACAATATTTCCCAGGCTCCATCATTAAAATTTCTTTCTTTAAAGTGTACTCTTGAAACCTCCTTTTTTTTCTTTCTTTTATTGCAGCTTTTGCCTGCTCGGTGATTTGTTGTCTAAATAAGCCGTACTTTTCGAACGGGTTTTTGCCGTGTTTTTTTGCCATATGCGTTTCGCATTCGTCAATATCCTTAAGCACTAGAAGACAAGTTTCACAACGTGGTGAAGAAAGTCCTACAATATTTGAAATTATAAAGCGTAAAATGTAGCGCAGATAATATAAAACATTAAAATTAATTTCAGACCATCCATTTTAATGAAAAATTTACCTGATAGATTCTTTATGTCAGGTGTATCTTTAACGTGATTAAAGCTCTTAATATCCACAGAATTATCATCTTGACTGTCATACTGGGACTGAAAAGTACCGTGTTTCTCATCCAGTATGAAATCATCTGCGTTGCATTCACTTTGGGCTTCGATGACATTACTAGAAGATGTGTTAGCGAGTAGCGTTCTTACGTAAAGTTCTGTTTTATGCAGCTGAATTTTAAAGTTGAAAAAATCTATTAAGCTGGTAGTACAACGGGTACAAAGGTATGGAGGAAATCCGTCATCTAATGTGCACTGCAACAATAAATACATAATATATATCCGAAATAGGCTCCTAGGGTTAGATGACGCTCAGTTGAATGAATATCAGAGCTTTTTTTGGATGTAAATACATAAATTCTATATTTATATTCCCAGTGTAGTTCATAATTGGCGTCATTTCACTGAAGATGTACTCTAATGGTATATAGCGTATACAGAAAAATATATTTTTTTTTAATGTTCACACATAACTGAGATATTTGCAAAAAATACATCATAAATATGGTAACAACGTTTTTAGTTCGGGTCTAAAAACCACGCTATTCTCATTAACGTTACACAAATGCTAGTTCATACTGCCATAGGAAAACAGTCAGTACAAAGATGTATGCATATAAATAATGTTGTAAATAGCGCTTTTGTGGAATAACAAGCGCGTTGCTTACCTCGACAGCGGTTGTTTCTATCAAAATATCAGCCAAACTCAAGTGTTGGTCAAAAACTGCGAATAAATAATGCATTTTTGGATCTTCCACAAAACAACCCCTACATTTAACAGACAAGTCGATATCCAGTTTTTCCCCATCTTCAATCTTTACAACGGTTTGAAAGTTGTCATAATTTTCGGAAATGCCAGAATGTTTCTTTAAAATCTCGGAAGAACACACATTAGACGCCGCCATTTTCACTAACTCGACTGCAGACAGGAGACATTTCCTTTATTCTTTACAGAGAATAGTACCTGACCGTAAGCGGCAAAGATCTAATACACTATGTTCGCTTTCTTGTTTAATTCATCGTGCTAGACAGAGATGAACCGAGTCTAAAAAATTAAAGACGTGTTTTAATCCACAAGGGCTAAGAACCTTTTTAAATCTGTTTAATTCGTATTACGCGTGACGACGCGATATTTTTCAACATTTTTCTTGATAAATAAAACCAGAATACAGAGACTCGCAATACGTTGGTGGGCTACTTGTCTCTTTCTAGTGCTTCCACAAGCGCGCCATTTTTTGCCAAAAACGCGTGTCTTTACAGCGGGAAAATAAAAATTGCCCCTAGTCGTTTTAAGAGTTACTGAGGATTACTTGGATATTACAGAGTTTTTTAAGTCCAGTTTATTTTTCCAGTTAAGTATAAATCCTGATTTTTCGAATTTTAAACGGATAAAACGGATTAAACGGCTCAAAAATTCATCAAGTTAATCTAAAATCGGCGAAAAAGAGAGATATAGGAAAGAAGAATAAAGGAGAGACTCTAAAATCGGTTGGTAAACAATTGCTTGTTAAACAATTATATCTTTTCAGAAAACCTGATGGCAGAAATCCGGCTTAGCACCGATTAAGACCGTTTTGAGTTTTCCTGCACTTGTAAAAGAACTCTTTGTCAACTAATAGTGAAAGAAAGGCTGCACTTCTACCACTATTTAGTTTTTTTAGAAAGTGTTCCTATTGGTTGGAGATCTGTCAGTTCGTACCACGACGGTCGAATTGACAGATCTCCGACCAATAGAAACACTTTCGTATCATTGTATCATCGTACACACACATGGGACACGGGCTTAAGTTTTAGATTATACCTTTGTTCATTTACTTATAACCATACGGGTGTTTGCAAATTACATTAAATTAATGTTAAAATAAATGAAAAAGAACATTGTTACTAAATTTATGATTTAGGTTTTTCGCGAATAACTCCCGGTTTTTTATGGAAATTATCGTTTCACTTTTTCCTGGACTAAATGCCCACAGATTTCGCCTCCAGAGGAATAACGGCAAGTTTGAATCACCCTGAATACGCCAGATTAATACACTATAATATACTTAATATTACCAATTAATATAGTCATATTAATATACTATAAATACCAAAAATAAAACTTCTTGTGCCACAAAGCAGAATCACTGAAACTACACAGGACCAATGCTGAAATGATATATTCCAAATGTGAAAAAAATGAAACAAATTTAACTGTAAACTGCATTTCATAGTGCCAAATTTGGGTCCTTCTCTGGCCAAACCAAATCAATATCCAAACAATCCAAAGCAACCAAATCAGTTGGGTATCCTAATATTGAACTAACACTGGGATTAGTCCTCTCAAAGTCCCCATGAACGAACTCTTTCACATAGGTTCCCGCTTGCGTATTAACTTCCAACTCAAAAAGATCAGAATATCCTAAAATACAGAGTAAGAAGTATGTAATCATAATTGTAATTTGACCAAAAGGCACCTGGCACTTCAGTTGCAGACATCTTATATATGGTTTTATCCCTAGCCATCAAGGTACGCCTATGAAGCACTCTCATCACAGTGAGCTGCGAAACAGTTAGTTCTGATTGCTTATTTAGAATATCAATGGCCGCTTTTATGTCTGGTGCAGCCGTTTTGCATAACGCCCTGTATGTTTTTTTCTTGCTTTCTTCTCCAGACTTTATACGCGTTAAATCAGAGCAGAATATGCTTTGCAATTTTGTTACTGCCACCAACTCGCTTTTAATCACCTACAAAAATCGTTCTAATTTAATCACATAGACAAAGATATTTTTAGTCAAACAGTTATTATTAATTACCGAGTCAAAAATAAACGAAAATCCATGCCTGCTTCCTCGACCAATAGATTCACCAACATTTCAAATTTAACGCATTTTTGGGGATAATTTCGGAAACTTTGGAAAATATGTTTTTCAAAATGTGGCAATTAATTAACAATAACAACACAGAAGTTGAAATTGGAATTGTTTTTCGCTAAGCTGAGAGCATGACTGCGACCTTCAAGTTCTTACCAAAACTTCTTCATAAAAAAGGAATTTATTTGTATTCTCAATATAGGTATGAATCTGAAAAATTCTATTGAAGCAAGTTAAAATCTTAAACTTGAACAAGTAATAAAATATCTGCTAAAATGAAACGATAACGAATAGCGCACATGCTAATGTGAGAGAATAGCATTCCAGCCGATCTAAGGTATTCGTGATTATTCCGATAAATTCTACCCCATCCAACACGTGCTTCAAAATGTATTATTTATCAAAAATGTATAATCGATTCCTTTAAAATTAGGAAATCTCGTTCCTCGAAAGATGAAAAGATAGATGTCAAGACGATGTATCAAAGTGGCTCTTGGGACATGAGATATATTCGATCGTTTCCCTGATATACGTTATTTTAAATGTTTGCGTTTTTGCATTATGCTTCCAGCTCTTTGGATGTTATAAATTTGTGATCAAATCTAATTAGCGAAAGACAGTCACGCTATTGCAAAAGTCCATCTTTTGGATTGGCTCTTTCGAAACGTTTCATTTACTCTTGTACACCAAACATTTAAATAAATTTGCTCGGTTCTCTTTAGAGCAGGGTTTCCCAAACTTTTTCGATCATGGAACACTTTGCAAACCCAGAAATTTTAACGGAACACTTGACTTATTTTTAAGTTAATTTTTAATGAACTATTTTAACACCTCAAAAAAAGGTCACTACATTTGCTTAGTGAAAGCAAATGTCCCTTTGCTTTCGCCAACCTTAGACCTTTCCATGCTCCTTACAAAACGCCTTACGAATGAACATCACCTTAAAGAAGCAAAAGGCAAAATCAATATTTCCTATTGGTCAGCAGTATACCACTCATTGGTTGGAGTTGGAGCTCGATTTAACGAATCGTCTACAAACTGTTAGATAACAAGGAAAAGGGTCTGTGTGAAGAGGTATGATTCGCTTCACATATTCGCTCACTGAACATGCAAATTCTGATAGTCGCGCAAATAAAATAAATTGTTTCAGCAGAGTAATACGATTAAGGGTGCCAGGGTTTTGAATCCGAGCAAACCTCCCTTTCCAGACAGTTTCTAAAGTAACAGCATGTAATTGCAGTGGCTCTTACGCGACTTTTCTAAGCAATATCATCCGAATTTTCCATAATAAAGTTTTTTCTTGTTAAATCTTATCTGTTATCGAAAAAACAGTCTCTAAAGCAGAGTTTCCTAAACTTAAAAAAGCTATAAAGAATCGTTACTCCCTAACCCTGGTCAGATTTTTTGCAAAATTACCCAAAGTACAAGTTTATTAAATAGTCTTTAAAAACGTATGTATTATGAATGCAACATATCCAGACGTTTTCAATTTGGGGACAAAATTCTATTGCGATTTATACTCTAATTGGTAAGTCCGGTTAAACCCTAATTCTGTTCTAAGATTCAGTCCGAAATATTAATAAATGAGCGCAAAATTTTGGATTACAACCTAAGAGAAGAAATCGGCTGATTGCAGATCTTCAATTGCTAGTTTAATAGTTTCAATTTTATCGAAAAATAAACATTTTTTTTAACTTTTCAATCTAAAAAATGACGATTGTCTGATATTCGAAACTAAAACCGATACCGACGCCCATTAAACAGCAGAATAGTTGGTATATTAACAATAAATAGACCCACCTGTCTTTCTACTTCCCTAAATTGTTCGGAGGAAAATTGCCTTTGCTTAGCGTTATCAATTTTAACATAAAACGGTCTGCCAGCACCGAGCATCCGAACATCGACATCTTCTCTGCCACTGGCTGAGAATGTCATATTCTTTTTTTCACATCTGCAATCCATATTCCAACATATTATCATGGTAGATTTAGACAATGACAAATATTTCCACAACATAAAATACTTCTAACTGACCTAAGAACATTGACTATTGCATCGAATACAATGTCTTGCACATTGTGTTCGGTAACACTTACACCGTCCACAATCCACGGAGTTTGACCAACATTTCTCTTAAACTTCAGATACCTGCCACCGATAAAGATTGGATCCGTGGTAACATTCACTCTTTCCAGTTGTACTTCTTTGTCGGGTATTGCTGGCGGAATGGCAAAATGATACGTGAATAATTTATCATCTACATCTTTTAAATGCTCGAGTATGTTGTTCCTACTGACGTCGATTCTCTTTTTGGATCGTTGATTCCTGTTTAAATTCTTCATATTTTCAACTTCCTAAAATTTTTCTAGTATTAATTTTGATTTAATTTCGATTTGGTGCAAATATATGGAATAAAATAAAGCCGACCTTTACCTCATCGTGTTCGATAACGTTTACCGCAGATGTGATTGAAACGTCAAGGCATTTGAGTACGAGTTGAACTTAAGAACAAGAATTGATACCGACTACGTTTTATAAACCCACCTCTTACAATCGGGTCGTTGCATTTTTTTTTCTTTCATAAAATTGACTATTGACGAACAAATAAGAGCCCTACAATTTTTTTTCACATTCTGTCTACTCGTAACAAATCTAACAGCAGTCAAAGTTTAAACTTACACAAAGCGCGCCGAAACGACCAGTTTTGGCTGATCGTAATGTGACGTCACGAAGCATGATTCTGCTCCGCCACATTCAGCGCTTATACGTGTTTCCATGTTCTAATGTGAATATTGTGTGTTGGTTTGCTTGTTTCTCAATTATTGAAAGTAAAATGGCTTATAAGTACTGTATGGTGCCACAGTGTACAAGTACCACTACGTCTACACCAGGAAAAACATTTGTAAAGTGCTATTGAACGAAAAGAAACGGAAATTGTGGTTGAAAGCAACGCGGCGAAACTGCACCGAACTTTCTGCAAAAAGCAACATTTATGCCTGTGAGGATCATTACGATGTAAGTTCGCATAAAAGCAATAATATGTATAGGTTTCTTAACCCTATGTGTTCGTTAGATTTAGGTTTCACCGTTGATTCATTATGTGCAATTTTTGTTTATTTTATTTCACAGCTTGAAAGAAACATGAAAAATTTTATGAAGCGGAAAATGATGGGAGTTCAGAAAATAATTACAAAAGATGTTCTTCCACATAAAATTGCGTGCCAAAAAGACAGAAAACAAAGTAGTGACGCTCCTGTACGAGCGGTAGTTTTGAAACGTAATAGATTTAACATTATAAATGACACTGGTATAAATAAAGCTTTATTCATAATTAAGCTACTTAGACACTACAAAATTGAGTTTTGTAAATATTTATCTAGTTCTTCAAAAAATTCGCCTTGACAAAACTTTTGCTGAACTAGGTGATGATTTTGAATTTTCCGCAAATAAGAGTAGAATTTTTGCAAAATCCCTTCCATTAATTAGCGAGATGTTAAAGACTTTAATAGTCTGGATACTATCTAATAAAGTTATAAAACGTCTAATAAACCTATACCTTTTCGTGCACATTATAGTAACGAAATTGAAGAAAATCTAGTCAAACAGGCTCTTACATGGTCAGATTACAAGAACGCTAATACCATAAAGTATCGATATAGTCAACCCCAGATGGCATAATAAATTATATTTATTAAGCCTTAAATGTTAATGTCTTAAGACGCTTAGCTTGCTCCTATGCAATATGCAAGTGTACATTCTGCTGGTTATGGGCATATAACTAGCGTAGCGTAAAACAACGTTCTCGCGAACATTTGACATCTCATTTGACAAGCAAATCTGGTAACTTTCGTTTCCTTTTTTAATATTAAATTTTTTTTTTAGAAATTTGCTTTAGGCGTTCTTCTAAACGACCCTCACGCTGTTTGGGACAAGTTTCAACCAAAAAAAAATTTTGTAACCCTACTAAACAATTTTAATAAAAACTGTTTCATTTATACAGGGTATCCCTGTATAAATATCCCTAAGTCTGGTATCCCTGGTATACTGGTAACCGGGAACCGCGATTGATATCTGGCAAACTATAATTAGGAGATATTTGAAAAATGGACAGTGTGACGAAGGCATTGGGGGCAAGTGATCTAAAATATATTTTTTCAAGATGGTCACACTTGTTGGTATCGACTTGCTTATTTTAAATGGAACACCCTATATATTGTTACACTTTTGAATTCTCCTCCAAATTCTAAATATACTTCTTGTATAATATCTTATACCTAAGTCTAATAGGTACCTAAGTCTAAACGTTTTTTATATGTATATGAAATTTTATGTAAAAAATGACAGATGCACCTCCTTGAATAATTATTCGTTTTTCCTGTAAGGGAATATGTTCCACTTACTTAAAAGGACTTACTTTCATGGAATTTCAACAAAATTTTGATAACTATTGATACAAACTGGTAAAAAAGTGGTCTTGTAAAGGTAACTGACAGCTGTAAGCATTCCTTTGTCATTTGATTGTATTAAAAATTGCAGCTTTCGTCATGGCAACTAAGAGTGACAGGGATTAAAAAAGATAATAATATAATAATGGCAAAACAGCCATATAAAAATATTAAATTGACAATATTTCGAAAACTAAACAGTTTTGGAATAGTCACAAACTCACCCTTATTTTTAATATTGAATAACGCAAAATTATTAAAAATGGGCGTTTTCATTGGAAAGAATTAATTTTGGGCGGTTTTCTCAACTTTATTTTGAATCTTATGTTTTTAACACTTTGCATCAATAGTTATCAAAATGTTGTCGAAACTAAAGAAAACAAGAAGAAATGCGGCTCAAACGAAGTAGCACATATTCCCTTAAAGGAAAAATTATTATACATGGAATATATTTAGAATTTGCTGCAGAGCTCAAAAATGTAATATGGGTGTTCCATTTAAAATAAGCAAGTTAATACCTACTTCCGGTATAGCCATCTTGAAAATATTTTAGATCGCTTGCCTCCAATGACTTATTTGACACTGTCCAATTTTCAAATTCCTCCTAATTACAGTTTGCCAGATATCGATCGCGGCGGTTCCTGATGGGACACCCTGTAGAAGACTTAATTGTTGATCGAAAAAATGCCGAGGGTTGGGTGTAACGTCGTACCTAAAGCATACTTAAATGTAGATGGGAAATTGAAAAATAAGACAGCTTAACTTATTTTTGGGCCACCCTGATATGCATGAAAATTCCATCAGCAAAATTGCAGCCACAAATGAAAATCGACAACTCTCTCTTATTCCATTTGCACCATATTGTATGACAATTACTTACTTCGTCATCTTTCTCATATTTTATTGATATAAGAATATTCAAATGCGACTTTGGATAATACTGCTTATTTAAAGCCTCAGATAGCTTTCCAGTGGCTACAGCTCTAAATATTTTATGTGGCTGCTCTAGCAACACCTCATCCATTACACCTACGAAAAACAGTTGCATACAAACTTTTGCTTTAAATGTACGCTGAGAACTTACTTGTTGTCGTCTCATACAAGTTCACAGATTTATAAAGCGGAAAGTGTTTTCTCAAATGCAGTAGCATGCTATGTGCCCTGACAGCCAAACATTTCGGAAAACTAACATTAAACACAAAATTGTCGTAATTATAGCTTTCGATACCAAGTGATTCAACATGCTTTACAAGATTTTCAATAGTTTCATCACGAAAACAGTCGAGACACATGGGGCAAATGTTTGATTTCCGTTTCTTAGGACTGGATTCATTTAATGTATCTAATATACGTTCAGGTTGTTGGGCTGACACCTAAAATATTTATTGTATTAATGAGACATCCTGATAAAGAGGTAAAGAATTGGTTTTCCGGTGCGAAAGCAATGATCAGCAAGAATATAAAATATCCGTAAGCACTCATGACTTACTACAATGACTTTTTTAACGGTGAAAGAATTGAGTAAAAGCCGTTAAAATATTATCTGAATACCGTATAAACTGCGTGAACGTTACATGAAAGAACTTTTTTGCAGGGCGTTTCTTTGGTTCTTCCACATAGCTTTCCTTCAGACCCACCCAACTATTTTGACAAAGATAGTAACATGCTCCAATTGTCAGTATTTTAGTAGTTAACGTAAGTTTATCAACATTTAACCGAAAGTTCTAGATCTCACCTGTGCCAAACATCGTTTCAGGAATATTTCTAGTATTCGAGCAACATGCAAAAAATTCAAAATTAACGCGTGTCTTGAGAACCGCTCTTAGTTATTGGCTTGGTATTTAGAGAACGTTTGGTTGAGCTAAAAAGCTCTCGTTTTCATTGTTCAATAGAACCTTAAATTTCGCACTTTTTATACCTAACATCGTTTTAGGAATGTTTCTAGCTTTCACGCTAGAAAGAATGCAAGAATGCGAAAATTCTTGCAAATCAAATTTTGAATTGCAAATTCTTGCAATTCAAAAAAAAATTGTTCTAAGTTTTGAAAACCGCTCATGCCTTTTCTTCTGTCGATCGTAGATTTATTGGAATTTTTATTATATATTATTATTATTATATATTTTTAATAACACATGACGTTTGCTTGTTGCATTTGTCATGTACTTGCCCATGACTTTGGCGTTGACGGTATATTTGTGCTTTTCAAATAAATTATTATTCCATAAATAATAATCAGACAAAGCGAGACAGCATTGAGAAAATTTTCTAATGCTTCGAGTATCTATGTTTATATGTATAAATTATAGCATTACGGCAACAACGCTAGACAGACGATTAAAGACGTGCTACCATTGTTATAGTGAACGGACTATATATCAAAAACGGTTAGACTTAGGTATATGATATTATACATAAAAAATATTTAGAATTTAGGGCAGAATTCAAAATGTAACAATATACAGGGTGTTCAATTTAAAATAAGCAAGTTGGGACCTACTTCCGGTACAAACGGAAGTGTGACCATCTTGAAAATATTTTAGATTGCTTTCCCCCAATAATTACGGTACACTCCAATTTTCAAATTTGCCGGAATTATACTTTGCGATAGATCGATTGTGGTGGATCCCGCGAAGGGACACCTTCTATACTTAAGTATAACAACTTGAACTATGAGTTTACTTAGTTCACTGGTCAATAAAGAAAAGTAGTAGAGAGTTTGACCTAAATATAACAGTGAACTTACGAGTTTATTTAAATAATCTTCCGGTTTCTCATAAGGAGATCCCACCTCCGAATATTGAACTCCTAAAAAGCGCAGAATACACCGGCTGCAACAACATAATTCTTGCAAGGCATCTACAACAGATAAAGCATTTTGGGCCGATTTTAACAAATCCATTACTTTTACAATACTCTCATAAAGTTAGAAAGAAAAACAATTTGAAATATACGTATGATCAATTCGAATGGAAACAACAAACACTTAGGTTAAGTCAGGTTAAGTTTCCATCTTCTTCTAGGATGAAGCCAAGCTAGATTTCTATCCACATATTAAATTGTATAGTGTTGGTTTCTTGACCGATAAATGAACGAAATGAACCGATAAAAAAGATGGTTTTCCTTTCTTGAGGATTCGGAAAAAATTATAACTTTTTTAGCTAGCAAGATTTCGGCGATTTATTGTCGCTTACTTCAAACATGAGCTTTGAAATAAATTATATATATATATATATATAATAATTAAGTTACAGTGCAAGTAATTTTTTTAATTATATTTAATTTATAAATGGTTAAAACAAACTAACTATTTGAATAAATAAATTGAATAAATAAGAAAATCCCAGAAAAACTCTGTGAAATTGAATTTTTGCAGATAAACGTTTATTAAAACCAGGAGATATATGTTAATACATAACTGTAAAATCGGACTTAATTAAACTATTTAAAAATAAATAATAGATTTGATTGGTTATTAAATATGGAATTATGGGACGCGGTCATGGCAATATTATAACACTGAACACAGTCTGGTTTTCGACATATTCAAAGGCATACACCTTGGCACATCTATGTCTGACTCACACAAATTGCCATCTTTGATCTCTTTTATAGTTAATTTCTGAACATTCTCCATTCAAATGAAAGCTGCTACAAATCAAAGTATTCTTCTGTCAGTGTCTGTCAGTTGTCTATTACAGATCACAGAAGTGTGGTTATCTATAGTAAGCGTGGTAGATTTATTGTTTTATAGTAAATTACCGTTTCTTTCCCAATTCGATTGCGAACAAAATACAGCAAAATGGGAAAGAAATCGAAGATTGGAAGACAGCGCAAAGACAAGTTTTACCATTTAGCCAAAGAGACAGGTAATGCCTATTTATATAACAATAAACACATGTTCTTTAAATTCAAAATATTCTCCTAGGGTTTCGCTCTCGTGCCGCCTTCAAATTGATTCAGTTGAATCGAAAGTTTGAGTTTCTGCAGAAGTCCCGAGTATGCCTGGATCTGTGTGCGGCCCCTGGAGGCTGGATGCAAGTAGCGAAGCAAAATATGCCCATTTCAAGCATCATTCTTGGGGTGGATTTGTTCCCTATTAAGCCCATTCCAGGGACAATTAGCTTGACTGAGGATATTACTACTGACAAATGCCGAGTAAGTCATCATAGTCATCACTACCACAAAACGTCTGACATAGTGGCTTACTGTACAAACTACGAACAACAAAATCTATATCAAGAACTTACTAGCAAATAGACAACACTATCCCCTTTTCCTTTCCTCATTTCACTTATACAATATATATTACAATTCGCAACAGCAAGCGAGTCACAAATCATAGACTTAACGCAGACTTTTCTATAATAATTGCAGACGGACACGCCACAGAACCAAAAACGACATAAAATACCTACCTAGGAACAAACTTAAATTCACAAACACGGGAAACATTAGAACGGACGATTAAGAGAACAAAACACTTTTTATCACTAACATGCAAGGGCAGAGGAATTAGCGCCAATACCGCCACAAAAATATACAAAGCTATTTGTAGACCTCTTTACATATACAATCAACAGAACAGAACAAAATGCTCTCACAAAGACTCATAACACCAATACCACTATACAATCCATCAAGCGAATTAACTATATCAGCGCACAAAAATAACGGACCGATTAAAACAAATTCAAACAAAGTGGAAAGCCAACCAATATAACTGGACTATACTGATATTTATTTGCCTCACAAGACACACAAAACAATGTCGTTTTCGTTCTACAGCTACTTTACACTTTGGGAGACTGTTATTTGTTTTATTGATTATTTTTAATCTATATGTATGTATAATGTCTTTATAGTCTTAAAAAGCTTAGTTGTAACTACAACGGCAGAAATACTAGGTGGTCGCTAGCTTTTTCATAGAAATGAAGATTTGTATATACATGGATCAATCAAGATTACGGCTAACTGGAGTGTAATTTTCAAATTATTTTTTATGCGATATTGGCATCAATAGTGGACATCCATGAACAGTTTTTTCGCTACATCGGGTGTTCCCAAATAAATGTGGTATATAAAACTATGTATTCCTAAATGAATCACCCTGTATCAATATGCAGCAGCTGTTTCTCTTATAAGCAAATAAGATTTATTTTGCTATAAGGTTTATTGTATTGGACACTTAAAGTTGAAAGTAGGGCCACATTTGGCAGCGAACATGTAAATAATTTAGTTTCAGAAGATCGAACCGACAAGTTTTTCAGTATATATATATATTTCAGCTCTATGCGTAAAGGACATTTTTATATTTTCGAAAGTTTGTATTGAAATGTTTTGAAAACTTTGCCTTAATCTTGTTTTATGTCTTTAGCTAATGTTGGTACCTGTTCGTAAACTTTAGCCTTAACATGACCCCATAGGATAAAGTCAATTGGTTTCATGTCAGGTGATCTAGGTGGCCAGTCAATTGCATTACCGCGTTCAATCCAAGCATTTCTCTTCCAATCGTCTAGTAATTTCTTACATTGCTATGATAGTGCATTGATATTAGATTCTTTTGAGACCGATTTACTCAAAAACCTGTTATTCAAGGTATTAACAATTTTGCATTTTCTATACCTCCAAATAAACGGTATTAGAGGACTGGTCCGATTGTTCAATTTTTTTTACAGCGCTGATCCAAATGTGACTTTCAACTTTAAGCTTCTACATATATCTAATTAACTACTAACCGCAGACCCAATAAACCTTATTCCTTAACCAAAAATACCTTTGTAAGCTGAAGCAAAAGTTTTTTTGTGTAGTGAAAGTAATGTTAATGGATGGCCACTTGGTCCAATCAGCCAATTTCGCATTAAAAGTAATTTCAATTTTGAAATTATTAAACACCCCAGTTAGCCAAAATATTCCACCACTTGGTTGCACCGCCCTGTATATATAACCATCAATAACTATTCTGCCAACAGGTTGCTATACGCAAAGAACTACAAACTTGGAAGGCCGATGTAGTGCTTCATGATGGAGCTCCAAATGTCGGTAAAAACTGGCTTCACGACGCCTACTCCCAGACCTGCCTGACACTGAGCTCTTTGAAACTAGCTACAGAATTTTTACGCAAAGGGGGCTGGTTTATCACCAAAGTGTTTAGGTCAAAAGACTATAATCCGCTTGTTTGGGTATTAAAGCAATTGTTCAAAAAAGTTCATGCCACTAAGCCTCAAGCTTCTCGTAATGAATCCGCCGAAATATTCGTAGTGTGTCAGCACTACATCGCTCCAGATAAAATAGACCCCAAGTTCATGGATCCGAAATATGTGTTTCAAGAACTAGAAATCGAGCCCAAGAATAAACTTAACATATTCCATCCCGAAAAGAAGAAGAAAGACAAAGCTGAGGGATATGCGGAGAATGACTGGACTTTGCACCATCAAGTTAAAGTATCAAACTTTGTGCAGCATGAAAATGGAATAGACATTTTGCAACATGCTTCAGAAATTATTTTTGATGATCCGGATATTCTCAAACATCCCAAAACCACATTAGAAATCCAGGAGTGTTTTAAGGACATTAAAGTCCTTGGTAGGAAGGACCTGCGAAACATAATGGCCTGGTGGAAAATCCTGCATGATGAGTGGGAACATCGGGTTAAAGAAGAGGTGGAAGAAGAACCCGATATGGTGGAAAAAATTGAGATTGAAGGCGAAATGAGCGATGGAGAAGACGACTTGAAAGGCGTGGATAAGAAAATCGCAGACTTAGAGGCCGAAGAATACAGAGACTCCAAGCGAAAGAAGAAAAAAGTGCAAAAAGAACGCAGGAAATTAAATGAGAAACTTAATTTGAAAATGATTCTTAAAGGTGAGCAGTATTTGGGTAAGCCGAGGATTAAATAGTTGCAATCAAGAACTTTTTAGGAGATGATGGCCCTAAAATGGAGGCAGATGACATGTTCTCGTTGAAACAAGTTAAGGACGTCGATAAGATGAATAAAATTGTGGAGCAAGGACCAGATATGTTGGCGGATTCTGATGACGAACAAGACTTGTCGAAACGAAAGTATCTAAGGTGAATTGAAACTCGACGATTCTCACAGTTCAATACTAAAAATTTAATTTGTTTAGATACGACAAAGACGAACAGCACTTGGACAGTTCAGGCCTGTACTATAAAGATTCAGACTCTGAGCTTGAAATGCAAAGTGGAAGTGATTCTGATGACGACGCCAAGCAAACTCTTGGTAAAACCCATTTGTACTTTAAATGTTTCCAGTTGTATTGAGCGTTGATTTTGCAGGATTTGAGTCCGATGACGACCATGACAAGAAGCCAAGCAAAAAAACAAAGAAGCAAGCAAAAGAGCCCGAAACAGAACATCCTTTGATAACGGACTTAGACTACAGAGACAAAGATCAGAAAAAGACGCATAAGGCAGAGCTCTGGTTTCAGCGTGATATTTTTCAGAACCTCATCAATGAGAAGGATGAAGATGCCGACTTGGATAAGATGGTGGAGGATTTTAAGAAGAAAGGAGCTAATGTCGTAGGTAATTGTCGTAATCATACGTTTACCGATTACCTGGTTATCTTGTACTAAAAAGTAATCTTGCAGGGGAATCTGAGACAAAAATCAAACGAAAAAACAATGTTAGTGATAGCGACTACAGTTCAGAAGAGAGCGCATCTTCCGACGACAGCGATTCCGAATTCGACATGGAACGTCATGTGCCATTAAATAACACGAAAAAGGACGGCTTTGCGGTTGTTAAAACTGCCACAGGTAACGTTTATAGTTTTATAGAGACGCTTATTGATATTTAGATAAAATATGTTCCTTAGGTGTTGCTACTGGTAAAAAACGCAAAAAGCACAAGTTAACTGAAGAAGAACTGGCATTGGGCACTTTGATGGTAAACAGCAAAAAAGCCAAAAGAGACTTAATCGATGGTGCTTGGAATAGGTATGCGTTCAATGATGATAATTTACCAGATTGGTTCGTTCAGGACGAACAAAAGCATATGAAAAAGGAAGCTCCAGTGCCTAAGGTAAGATTGTAAACGAAGCCTGGAAATGGCTATACCTACTAATGTTGATAGGAATTGGTGGACGACTACAAGAAGAAACTGGAAGAAATCAACGTGAGACCAATCAAGAAAGTAGTGGAAGCTAAGGCAAGAAAGAAGCGCAGGGCTCTTCGGAAGTTGGAAAAGGCGAAGAAAAAAGCTGAAGCTTTGATCGACAACGGGGACATCACCGAGAGAGAAAAGGCACAGCAGATTAAACAGTAAGTGCCTTTTGAATTTTATCTTACTGGTTCTATCGTGTATTTTCTGGTCTGGATAAAAGGTACAAATCCGTTCTTTGATATCCTAATTATTCTATTTTATTTGTACCCAAAATTTAGATTGTACAAAAAGGCTACGAAGGAGCCTAAACGTGAAGTGACATACGTTGTAGCCAGGAAACATAGTGCAGCCAAGCGAGTTAAACGCCCTGCTGGTGTTAAGGGACAGTACAAGGTGGTGGATCCCAGAATGAAAAAAGATGTTCGAGCTCAGAAGAACAAACTGAAAACGATGGGCAGGGGCAAGAAAGGGGCTAAGCCTGGCAAAAAGAGGCCAAACGCGGGAAGGAACAAGGCTAACGCAAAGTAGACAGCTTTTGTTATTTTGATAATACAATTGTGCTGTGATACATTCTTTGATTATTCCCTAAGAATATTAAATTACAATTCCACTGGGTTTGGCCATTTTTTACTTTTTTTTTACTATCAAATTTTGGTTGATTTTTAAAACTTCACAGCTTCAAAATTTAGACAAATTTTTATCTATTTTATATATTGAAGTAAGTTACAGGCAGGTTAGGTAAGGTAAAAAGGGCAAAGCACAGAGGTAAACTTTATGCATGTTGACGACATTATTATATATTTAAATTTTAAAGATCATAAAAAAAAATTCACGAATGCGATTTGTTTTTTGTCCACAAATATTAAGAGTTAGTATGGACGCATGGGGATGCCGTTGTGATTTTGCCGAGAAACTTGAGCTTTATTTCAAACATTTTTTTCGCACTTTTGGAAAAGTTGACATTTTCTGTCCTTGCAAAAAACTGTCCTATTTTTCTGTTCTTAACTAATTTACTTTACTTTTCTTTTGGCACATTTCGTTTCTCTAGCAACATTTTGATTACTTTCATCAACGACTTAGTCTTTCATCAACAAATAGTTTATCGTCTCAAAAAAACTGTTTGTACCCGTAGGCTGAAAGCATTAAGCTCTTGAATTATGCTGTTAAACTAATCTCTTATCTAGCGAATGCTGTGCATCGGCCTCAGTTTTCACAATAGAAATTAATATTCCCAAAAAGCTAAATATTCACACAAATTCCTAATAAAATGCAAGGAAATTGATTCGCACAAGTAGATAAATTTTTAATTTACAGAAAAATAATATTCTCTTGTGGAAAAAAATCAAACAAGGACACCATATTTTTACTATAAAAGCCCCCGCTTAAAAAATATTCGCAGATTTCCATAAAAAATTATCATGTTAAGCATAGAGCGTCAGAGCATACGAAAACTATTAAAAAAAGCATGTAATGTGTGCGTAAAGTCGTATAACGTAAACATGTAAGTCGGATTGGAATGGAATTTGTAGTGATCCTTAAACTGGTTCTTCTTAAAGACTACAGCTTACATTTCATGTCCAAGTTTATCTGGAAAATGTGTCTTCTTACTCTTTTAGACCCTTTAGGTCTTCGAGCTAGTTGAACAAGGCAGATTTTTTAAATGCATGAGATAACTCAGCATTAATAAGACCATTCTCAGTGATATTAAGATAAAATTGGCTCATAGTTTATAAAACTAACAACGGTTAATTTATCTTTGCGCATATTATTTGGGACTACTGTGTATAATTTACGTTCGTTAACTTTTTAACTGATTCTTACGTACAATCGTTACGCCAAATAAAACAATAAATTAATAATTATTAAAAAATAAGTATAGTATCAACTACATTTGACCACATTGTACAATTGTAACAGGTATTTTGGGTTTATTATTTGGTCCTGTTGGAACATTCTCAATTTTACGCATTACTAACAGCCCATCAATTACACGGCCAAACACTACATGCTTGCTGTCCAAGAAATTACATTTGGCACAAGTGATAAAAAACTGACAACCATTGGTGTCCTTCCCACTATTAGCCATTGAAAGTAAGCCGGGTGTATCATGTTTCAGGGAGAAATTCTCATCTGCAAAAGTGGCTCCTCCATATATACTCATCACTCCGGTTCCATCGCCCTAAAAATAACTTCGTTAAATTAGGAATAATAATATAAACTTTTCCGATCTGAGCAAGTGCGCCTGATCGTTTGGTAGCTGCAGATGGCACTGAGCAGATCACTTCGCATTCACGTGGTAATAAATAAAAAAAAAATGCGAGTGAAGTGTGAGCTACACAAGAAATGCCGACCAGTAGGAAACCTACTGACTCACGGTACTGCTGAATTATTTCAAGTGCTTTATGTGCTCCCTTGGTCATACGCAACACCCCCCTGGTCAACTTAAGTTAAAGCCGTGATAAAAGTGGATATTTTGCTCCATTGAGCTTCAATTGCGTTACTGAGCAGACGAGCAGTATGAGTTGTTTGCGTCGGTAACAAATGTTTAGGCAACTTTCTATTTTACCGCGCGCGAGTTCAACTACAAAACAATAATAACATGGTGTGCGTAAGTATAAGAGAAGCTGTTTTCGGGTATTGCTGATAATTATTAAATGTGTAACTATAGAAGTGGTATTCAATTTAATTAATATGAAGATTTTTTAATGAAACGAAAAAAATAGACAAGTTTTTTCCTTGGGGATACGGTCTAAGCAGCGGTAAGAATTTTTTTTGGCGATTTGTTTTACCGCCTTCTTCAGGGTGCTAATTGTTTCATATGAATCGTCTGAATTTTAGAAGAATATGATTTTTTTTTCTCAGATCAAGAATCAAGTCAAGTATTAAGCGATTGTTCAATTGTTCCCCTGAATAGTGTTGCTGGGCCCAGTGGTTACAGATTAAAACTTAATAACAAAGAACAGTTTGTAGAAATACAAAGGGACAAGCGACGGTAACAATATATTCAATGACGAGCTGATAGCCTTGTCTAGTGTATTGACCAAGAAACTTTCCCTTGAAAAACATAGAGTTAAAATAGATAGATAGTAAATCCCAGATCATAGCCACGAACCACTAGAGAAAAAACAATTGTGCATTTAACAGTTAATTTGATCACCGGAATTCTCCTTTAAAGGTGTGTATATCAAATAGTTGTTTTGCTAAAAAAATCAAGACGTCTTAACGGTTTTTTCAGAGGCTTATACGCGGATGATAAGCTTTATCTAGTAGGTTTTCCCAAAAACACCACGAAGAAACGATGTTTAGTGTGGCATTTTGTGTTAGCATTTTGCTAATTTCAATTCCAGGTGCCTGATATCTTAGAAAATTACCGAAATAGACTTACATTGACAAAATCGCCTCCTTGTATCATAAAATCTTTAATAACGCGATGAAAACCGGCCCCTTTATACCCTAGTGGCACTCCATCCTTCCGAAATTCTCCAGTGCAAAACTGTCGAAAATTCTCACTTGTCTTGGGAACTACGTCTGAGAATAGTTCAAAAATCATTCGGCCTATTTCCTAAAAGAGTGTTTATATGTATTCTATGATAAAATGCATAGTAAGTATGCAGCAGTTTTGATTCTTACTGTTGTTCCTACGGCTACATCGAAAAATACAACTGGATTTCCCGGATGCCTTAACTGACTTTGAATTTGGTTCCAATTCGGCATTTTTTCAATAAATTAGGTTCTTGAACATTAACCAATATAACTTTTAATTGAAAACGCTTTCTATTCTAAAGAATTCGAACAAATTTCAGTTTGTTTACAGTACAATAACCTAAGTTTTCGTCTTCTGTTCTACTCTTCATTTCTTACTTCATACAAAAGACCTTGTCCATGACCATGCCTTATATTGAATTAAAACGTAGAAAGAAGTTTTTGAAGTCGAAAAAAAGTATTAGTGATGCCTAACATATTTAAATTTCTTCTGGCAAAAAATTAACGTATTTTTGCTGCACAGCAGTGTCCGAAAAATGTTTGGAAGGTTTTAAAATTAAGCCCAAACGTGTGCGTTGCCACATGATCTCACAAATTTAACTGATCCTCGAGGTTTTCAGTGGGGCAATCTGCCAAATCAAAGAAGGAGAAAAGTCATTGACCGTATTATTTTATTCTAACTAGCGAAAATTCCTGTGATTGGGTAAAAACTGGCTGCAAACCGTTATATTGAAAACCTCTAAGAATTTTAAGCATCTAACCGGCTGGAAACCCGATTTATTCGCTCAGTTATCGGTATTTATTGGATGGTTCTTTTTCGCAAGGCAACTGACCCGGGGCTATTACAGTTCTGACAAGTGTCTGTTTACATCACAAAATTTACAAAACAGGGTTGACTTCTTTCTCGTGAAAGTGAAAGATAATGGGGCCTTCAGGTTTTCACTAATAAGGAAAATGTAGGTCCAAGCCAAGAAAACGTTTGATATCGGTTGTTCGGTTTCACGTGGTGAGTGCACTTCGAAATATGATGGATGGAGTCCACAGGATATAATATGAAGAACAGCTCCCCAGACATGCAGGAAGAGAGGGCCCACAGAAAAATGCATGAGCTGTTCATGCAGGTGTTGAAAAATAGGGATTTGTCCAGGGCTGGTGATCTTTTTTCCGTGCCAGATGCTGTCATCGTCAACGACCTGACAAATGTGGTAAGAAATTCTGCATTATTTTTGCTAACATTAACTAATAATTTGTAAAGAGTGTTAAATTGGGAACTCTAAGTAGGAAGGCCGGGATCATTTGCACTGGGTCATCACAAAGCAATAAACAAGTTCACTTACCTTTAGGCACCTTGGCCTAGATTTTGGGCTAGTTTTACCTTTGAAAACCACCAAAAGTTTATTTTACACCAGAAAAAACACAAGTTGATATAAAATAAGTCTACTGTGGAAAACCTCACTGTTTAGAGTGGAAAAACTGCGTGAAAAGTAACTAGGTTTCATTTGAAAAATTTTGCTATCCGCAATGATAATACAAGAAAGGCCGCTACATAGGTATATAAAATTTGCACAAACCGCAAAATTCGCGAAGCTGCATATGCGAGCAACATACTTAAATGTCGAAAACTAGGAACCACAACACTCAGTCATTTAGGTATAAAATAAATTGTCGTCCGAATCCAATTCGCTGAAATTCTCTAAAAGCCCAATTCTTCTTCAAAAAAAACTCAACGACAATTGCTTACTCAAATGTATACAGGGTGACTCAGCGGAGCGACACCCCCTCTTAGATCGTACAGAAATAACGACTGGAAAAAAACGCTCATACAAACATGTTGTTGTATGAGCATTAATGTTGTAGTTGTCGCCAAAGTATTTATATCTGTTACTTGGAAGTATACAGATTTGCGCTGGGCGGCAAAAAAATTGAAATTGCACAAAAGCTGCTAAATGAAATGCAAAAAACGCAATACAAACTCTACAAAATCAGATTCATAAAATGTCCGAAGCTTCACATGCGAGCAGCACAAATGTTACGAAATTAAACTATAAGCCTGATTTACTACTACAAAATAATGTGGCGTCTGATCCAGATCGCTATTTATATTAATTTCTTAAAATCCCAATTTTTCTTAAAAAGTCAAGACCATTTAGTAGCTTAAGTAAGTAATATAGCAAAGTTTAATGCTAGATGTTGAAATAACTGAGTTTCGTCCACACTGAACTTAGTGATATGAACTCGTGCATTAAAAAAGTGCTGCTTGCTGCAGCGACGTGCGTTATTATTTTTGAGGACGAAAATGAAAAGATGAAAAGGCGAAATATAAGATTTTGGATTCGTCTTACCCGAGGTCGAGAAACATATACAGGGTGGCCCTCAAATAATGTCGAAAAATTCACTGACATATTGTTTAAGCCAAAATATTGCGTTTCAGGAAAATTTGTCTTATCCGAAAGTTAATAAAATCCTGACAGTGGATTATCAGGTGTTCACACAGCGACACCGATACGGCTTGCCGTATAGATACAGCGACACACATACTTTCTTCTTGTAAAGCGTAGTTGTCTCACAATCGAATTTTCTGAGAAAAAATTCGAATATTTAGATGATTTTACAGTTGTTGTAATGTAACAATGTCGGAAATCGTTAAAATAACAGTTTTCACTTGCGATTATTTCGTGCTTCTTTCTTTCTAATATGGATACATATTATTATTCTAATATGGATACATACTTTCCGGAGGATGAGGTCCAGCAGTTTCTCCAGCGCTTTAGTGGTCTTGGTGGGAAAAATATTATTTTGTAGCATGTGTGGGTAGGCAAGATGGTCAGTGCTTCAATTTGTGCCATCAGTGCGTTCATTTTAGGATTTGCAATTGGAAATTCGGGTCTAAACAGAACCGATACCAAACCGAGATAAATAAGAATTTATCAGTAGATATAGTATAATAGATATATCGTAATAAGCCAGGTGTCGCGGCACATGGACACACAGAGAAGCATCAACACACAAGTGTCTTAAGACCCAGTGTTACCCAGGCCTAATTAAAACTTTTGTACGTATTACACTTGCCCGTCCTTCAAATTTTAAGTGCTGGCAGTGGTCTTTCGTAAATCGTAAGCGATATGAAGTCGCTTAAGTTAAGACATAGTTGCGCATTTTGATGCCGAACAAAAATGTTTTTTAATAGCTGGACATATTCAATTACTTACGGAAATGTTCCAAACGAAAGCAAAAATTGCCCAAATCTTTTATATTTTTAGCTTATTTGAGTAGATATTTAACCCTTGTCACATTACACACTATAAAAGTACCCAGTATACTCTCAGATTTAGTATTCAGTGTATCATTTTCGGAACCACATTATCAAGTTACTTTTTTTTAAGTTACGATCAAATAATTGGAAAGTAATCAGAATTTATCAACCGTTTTAATTCAACTTCTATTTTTTCTAAGTTACGATAAATAATTGGAAAGTAATCGAAATTTATCAACTTTTAAGATACAAATTTGTTCAGTTTTGATGCAACTTCTCACTAACTATAATATAAATAAACCTACTAATTGGTACCTTTACGGGTTTAGGCGGTCCCAATGGTTAAATCTCGAATTTGTAACACCTTGTCTATGAATTAATTCTAAGATGAGAAAAATTCGATTATTTAGTTGGAATATTGTGTTTCAGATTAAAGAAATCACGACTGTGGCTTCTCTTCCTGATTATGTGAACAATGACAATGATCAAAGTGTAGTGGAAATATGCATTACCAGGTATGTTTGTAAACCGATGTGAATAACTTCTCCAAAAGCCTATACTTAAGGGGAATATAATAATATAATCATACTCTTACTGTGCAAATGGTAAACCGGACTTCTTCAATTAAAATGAATGTTTATTTTCAGAGTAACATCGTGTATTCGTGAAACTGGTAGCATTGAACAACACTGTGATGCTCTAGTAAATCTCTTGGAATCCTGCCTACATCACAACTTGCAAGTTTCTAATAGAGATGAAGATCCTCCACATGCAAAGATCTCAAGCGATATTATTTCCTGTATATTTTTGGTGAGAGATTAAATTAGAATTGTTAGTACTTATGTTTGATGATGTGGGAATTTTCAGAATTATAGTAAGAAATCTGTAATGCAAAGAGCGCTACCAGTGGCCGTTAAGTTTTTGCATAAAGGTAATAAAGAACTATCAAGAAACATGGCATCGTACCTTTCTTTGGCAGCAATGGAGCATGCCAGTTTACTCACTCCTCATGTACAACCCATTATGGACTCCATTATATCTGGTAATAGTCTCAAACATTTTACATTCATTAGTCAAGCTGAAAGAATAATTCAATTTTGGTTTGCAAATAAAAACTAGTTACACCTATTAATTGAATTTTAGGCAATTATCCTTTATGTAGAGTGCTACCCAATATATATGAAGTATCGCCAGAGCCCTTCCAGGGTCATGCTATGGCTTTAGTATCTCTTCTATCGCATTGCGATAATCATGAAAAATTGGCACTGTTAAACCTGTTCTCGCTTATGGCAAAAGATAAACCATCAGTATGTATGATTTTATTTAAAACTGTTCAAGTACAAATCGAATATTTGAATAATCCTTTTAGCTGTTGGAGGCAAGTGTACCTCAGTTATGCGAATACCTTTCAAGTTCTGCAACAGTCACTGCAACAATGCAAATATTTCTTAATATGGCCGAAAAGCAGCCGCTTCTTTTGGCCGATCATGTATCGGCAATGAAACAAGCTGCGCAAAGACATCCGCAAACTGTTTGTTTAGCCGCGCAGATTATTGGAGCTGTCGGCAAATTGAGCAAAGTACGTTGAAGAGGGAAGAAATCGAAGAATATATGATATCGTATTGATTTTAGGATAGAGCTCAAGATGCCCTCAATTTTGTTTTGGAGTATTTACCAAAGGCTGACAGAGGGTCTCAGAGCACTCTCCTAAGAGAGGCCACTTTATTATGTAGTTCATATCCAGTTTTGTTTACGGATAAAGTATTAGCAGGAGTTAGACAACGACATCACACAAGGTAAATACCGTTTAATTAATAATTTGAAACTAAAAATTTTATATGAAAATGTCGTTTATATCAGCGATATAGTTCTCTTAAAGTAGCATTTATGAAGACGCTTTATATTTTTTTATCATGATAAACACATAAAAATGGGGCTTTTTCAAAGGGGGGTTGGTTAAATATGTACAGTTGGCACATAAAAAATTGGAAAAACTTTCCACGTTGGTATACGTGGGCGGTCCAATAAGTACTTAGCCTACAAAACAAAAACGAAAATTTTGGAAAATTGGCTATTTATTTCTTAACATAGTCTCTTTTTAATTCACTTGACCCAGCGATGCTCCAAATTTTGTATAGAGTTATTTGTTATAATTTATAATCACAGAAATAAAAAATTAACAATATAGAGGATATTACATTAAAAAAATATATAAATTTGGAGTGTTACGTATTTTTGAGTGAGCACCTTTACAAGGGGTATACATAAAAATTTATTACCCTTCGTTAGCTACAAATTTAGTATACAACTGTTTGGTCTTAGACTGAATAAAAAAACTACTGGACTGGTAGATAAATGTTAACCAGTGACTCTGAACAGAGAAGATAAGAAATTTTAAATTGTAAATATTTTCTGTTTTGGCCGTTCTGGATTTTCCAAGTTCAAAACCAAAATCGGGAAAAGTCGCCTTTAAGTCTTGTCTACTTTCATGTGTCGTCAACGGTACAACTTTTACTCAATTTTTATAAATTTGGTGACATCATCTGGTGTCGTTAATGAAGTAGAAAATGCATATTTTAAGTTCGTTTCTTCAACACTGATGTTAGTTTAGCACTGTTAACTATGCAAAAAGATACATTTAGAGTTTTAGAATTGGACGATTTGGCGTCCTGTATTTGGATGTTGATATGGACGTTTTTAGCCTTTAGAATGTCTAAATAATTTTACCTTAAAGATTCAGCATTAATAACTTATTACTACCATTTATAAGCATTTAAAAATATTTTTTTAAAGAATTTGATCACTATTTGTGATAACAAAATATTTGCAATTGTAAGTAATAAATAGCTTGTTGCTCTAATAAATTTCAATTTAATTCGATTAGCACCAACCAAATATCACAAAGCAGCCAAGTGACATCAGGGGGCGTTACCATTGTGAAAGTGGGCGGACAACAACCTGAGAAACCTCAGGTTGCAACGGGGGGATATACAAGGCGTGCTAAACTAGGAGATTCAAGAAGTACAGGAAGGTTAGTAAATTAGCCATAAAGTTATTGTGAATGTTGTAACTACAGTAGCGTCCGATATAGTAAACCTGAATAACAACAGGTTTTTTTTTTATAAATTAAAAGAAACTCTTTGATAAAAATGTCAAAATTCTCCATGGTTTAACATTATAAGCAGATATTTTAGTTTGTACTGATCTAGTGTACTAGTTAATATGGCTCATATTAACCCGAGCAATTCCAAACTTCTTCAGGAACATCTCGTGAGTAAAAAATCATCATCAAATTTTTGGTTGGATGGAACTTATCCAAAACTTCATCATTCGAATCACTCTTATTTCCTTGAATCTTCATCAACAACTTTTTTTATATTTATGACTAAAAATACGAAAAATCATTAAGCAAAGTTGTTTGAGAAATTTTAAATAATAAATCCTGCATATCGCCAAAAAAATGTAAGCTATTGTTGTGAGGGTTTTTTAAAAATACATTTTTTTTTCAGAATCCACCTATACAACTATAAATTATTAATATCTAATTATTGCATTTTTCTTAGACCTTTTTATGAAAAACAGCATCGTTAAAAGTGAGACTCATATGCAATTGAATATGTATGTATGTGCACGTACCTGTTTTGTCTAATTCTGCAATTTTGTTTCGGTATTTTACCTTAAAATTTGTCTTTGGGAAAACGAAATGTCCTTCCGTTTTCTGTTTCTAACAGGTAATGAGTACTTTTTTTATATAAAGAACGAATTCCTGACCAAAAATCATTGAAATATAGAAGCTATCATCCACAACACACTTAAAGCCAAGCGATGACTATATTTTATAAATTAGGTATTTACATAAGTTAAGGATTCTCAGCCAATATTGTAATCAATTTGTCTTTAAAATAGTCTATTTCAAAAATCATTTTTCAGTAGGTAGACGCATTTTTATTATCGCTGTACATTTGTCCAATAAGGAAAATGTTATTAGCAATTGAGTAATCAATTGAATCTAACAAAGTACATGTCAAACAAGTATGAAGAAAGCACTTAGGGGTGCCATAAGTTTCTTCCCCTTCTTTTTCTTCTTCTTTTGTTGTTTAAGTACAGAATAAACAAACATATTTGTTGTGGTTGATTTATTATGTTATAATAAACCGTTCTGCTCTATAGCCTTCTTCCATCTCTCGGGCGGCCTCATTATGCCCTCTTTTCAAAATTGTTGAGGCTTACTTGCTTATTCAAAATATTTATCTAGGTGCGTCTTTATTTCGCTTATGGATTTGAAATGTTTACCACAGAGATAATTTTTTAAAGAGAGGAATAAGTAATAATCGGTTGGAACAAGCTCTGGGGAGTAGGAGGGTGAGGTAGAACGTGAGCCAACGCAACATGCGTCTTGAGTTGGCTTGGTGATACGCCACCTCGTCGGTTCGTCGGCTGGCCGTTTTTCTGCTATAGCGGCTTTTCGTTGATCCAGTTGATGGCAATATTTGTCAGCATTGATCGTATCACCTTGCGGAGGAGCTCGTAGTACACTACACCTTTACCTAAATACCTACCTACATTTTGAAACCGGTAATGAATAGGCAATCGAATTCTGCCCAATTTTGCCCATTTAACGGATTCTCTATCTTTAAAAATGTAGAAGTTTAAAGAAAATAAAAAATTTTTAGAAATACAAAGATTCAGAAAATGGCCACCCTGTATAGTATTACGATTTTTACTTTTTCATAATAAAAAATTGGAATGCAAAATTAAATTTAAAAAAATGTATAATTTAATTTTTATCTTGTAGCACTGCAGGGTTAATCAGCAGCATCAGCCGCCACTGCATGGCGTTTTAATAACAATTCTGCAAACTTTTTCGAAAGGACTTTAAAAATACAGGTTATTACTAAATTATAAAAATAAGTGTATTTCTAAATTATTGAATGCGAATCGGCAATATGTGTGTCTTGAATATTTCGTTGATGGTAAATTGTCTTAAATTTGAGACAAAATGCCCAATTAAAAGATTTTTGAAATGAATCAGTTAACATGAAGTTCTCATAAATCCTAATAAAATATCGTATTGAAAATCATCAACATTTTTATCCACACAGCATCCATTTGTCATCCCAATGAAACTAGTCCTCCGTTTCGTAAAATTGTGCATGCTTGTAACAGTGTGCAATCCTTTAATTAGTAACTTTCTGCCAAACCGATCTGAAATATTCTTTTTATTCAAATGAATCAAAAACTGCCACTTTTCGCATAGAACCACTTTTAATGTGCTTTTTACTTTGCGAACGGGCGATGGTCATTTATTTACTTTTACGTTAGTGTGAGGAAAGTCGAATAATATGGCAAACTACTATTAGATGCCATAAACAAGTGTGTGACCGATAAGAAAAAACCGTCCGCATTTTTTTCACCACATTTTTTATTAGTATTTGTCCGTATTGGCATTTTAAGGAAGGATATCCATAAGTCTATCCATCCATGGAGGTCCATAACTTGAAGTTTCGAACTTAAATAATGTATTTAATTTATGGGAGTTTCAACATGCGCTGGGCAATTATCAGCTAATGGTAAAAGGTTCCTATTGTTATTCTTCAGTGCCCAATCCCATTCAAAAATGTATTTCCTGTTTGATCGGTGTTTCACCGGTGGTGGATTTTTAAAACATTTAGGATTGGCCGATCTTATAGTAACTTTTAAATCGTTACTAATAAACTTCGTTTGAAAATGAGATCAGACACTGATAAACCTACCACTAACATTAATATTCCTTGATGTTGACTCTTAACAATGTTTTCCCAATGAAATGTCTCTTCTTAAAACGTCCAATTCCATTTCTAGAACATTGATGTTTTTGGATTTTAGTATCCAGACTCTCCGTTTCTTGAATAAAGCTACCACTTAGGGAGATATTATTCTGCATCTTTTGTATGAACCACTGCAAAATTATGCATTTATTAGTATGAGCAAAAATTAGTTTGTTTTTATCGTTTTCAATTCTCTCAATCAGTTAATATTTAAATTTTCGCATTAAGGTTAATAATTACTAGGTAGCAGAGCCATTGAAGAAGGCAAACAAGGAATAGGACCGATGTTGCGCAGTAATAATCCGGAAAAAGCGCAAAAAGTTTACTGTTAACATAATATCACTATAGGCGAACTCCTCTGTATTTATTAAGTAAAATGCAACATTGATTGTTATGGTATTTTATAGATTGCACACTGCCCAAAATTCAAATACACATAGAAGCATGACTAGGTTAAATGTAGCTGGCGGTTCAGTGGGTGGTTTGCATAAAAGCATGACCAAGTTGAGTACCTCAAGGTAAATTGACCTTAACAGGGTTCTTTCGAAGAAGAGTTTTTATTGAAAATGTACCGTTTTCCAGAGAAATGAACAGTATGTCGAATTCGTATGCCCTTCCAACCTCTCCAGTCACTGTAACTGGTGGTAAATGGTCAGGCACAAACATTAAAGTATCAAGTGGAGGAGTGACAGTGACTACGATTTCTCCACCTAGAATTCAGCGGCCCTTGAGCCAAGGGCCTCTCACTTTGCTGAATAACCATTTGGCACAGGTGAGTAAATTGAAATAAAAAAAAATCATCGACTAATAATACTTCGGCAGTCAACAATATCATCACCGCCTCCACTTCATGCTGCCAGCAACTCAGTAACTGTAAGCTCCGGCTATACTGGACTGATTTCAAGTAGTAATCAGGTGAACGTTTTAACTACTGGAACCAGTTCCACGACGCAAAATATCTCAGTTATTCCCAGCAGTCCGCCACCTGAAATGCTCAATAATTCACACAGTATCATGAACTGTGCACCGTCCAGCGGAAGTGGTAAGCAATGCCTTTTCGTAAATTAATGTTTATTTCTGAAATACATAGTTAAACCCAACCGAAGAAATTGAAGAATTAAATTTGTTTGATTATAATTATTTTGTTGATTATAATAAATTACATCCTTTAAGGAATTGCGAATTTTTTCTAAAATTCTATAAAAAAAAACGAATTAAGCACATAGAATCAAATGCACTATATTTTTAAATGGTGTAATCGAAACTGGTGAGTTTTTCTCGCGTTAAAGCCGGAAAAATTACTTTTCCTGATCCGGTTTCTCACTCGAGTTCGAGATTGCCTTCATATATTTTTGGTGATTTCGGGTTGGCAAGTGCCAAAAACCATATCTTGTTTAGTGCCATTGTTTCTGCTCTTCTATTGAAGTTGTTTTTTAGGCCAAGCAATAGAAATGAAAATAATAGTTTTTTTTACATAAATCCTATTAGAAAACCACTTACGCCATCACGTGCAGAGCAGTCCGTACTTTATTCCCAGTATGTGTTGGACAACAAAATGGCAGTTGCTAATTTTTTATAAACAATTTTCATCAAAAAATCACGTATCGTATAAATGGTTGAATTGTAGAGAATTGACCAAAAATTTTACGTTTACTTAAAAAATTCACAGCGTGGCCATTTTTAATATTAAGAGCTCAGCTTTTATACACGGGTAGCTATTTATATGTACTTTATATGCGCAAAAGCTGTACTCGCTCGGATTAATAGTTTTTGCACAACTCACATTTTGGTTTCTCCTGATTGTTCGATTGAAATTTAAAATATGGATTTGGAAACTTGACATGAGTAACAACAAAACGTATATTTCGGTTTTCCTGTAAACGGCTTTTAAGTGGGTGAAAGTCTTGAATATGAGTGAAAATGGCCGAGCGCACAAAAACGCTCGAGTAGTGGAGGACGCTACCCGTTCAAAGGAAAAGCATATGCGCGCGCTGTACGCAATTTATAATTTATTGCATTAAATTATTTCAGCATCTACATGTTTCATTGATTTGGTTTTGAGGAAATCGAGTTTTGACTCAGATTTCACAAATGATGGAAGAATATGCAGTTGGCGTCGCTTTCTCTTTTCGGTTATTAAACGTGCGAACACCTGTATCAAATAAATATACCAGGCAGAGAGAGGGGGCCCTTAGGAGCACCGCTTACCTGCCTATTTTTCCATATTTTTAGAATTTTTTTTTCAATTTTTCAATTTGTTAAATCTGAGTCAAAAAGCGGTTCTTTTTTCATGAACATAAGTTGTGAATTTTTTAAGAAAACTTTCAATTTTCCGAGTTTTCGCCGGTTCTAATTATACGATTGGGTCGACCGACCTCTCATTCTCTTCGTATTTAAATTCTCTACAATTCAACCATTTATACTATTAAGATTCCTTCACTTCAATCGTTTCGATTTTACCAGCGAGAAACTAAAAAAACGCGATTTTTTTGTCCAAAATATAGTGGGAATAGTCGGTTTGTCCTGCATGTGACGGCGTAGGTGGTTTTCTAATAGGATTTGTTCTTCTGCTCTGATCTGTTCCCTCTATTGCTTGGGCTAATTGTGTTCCATTAAAACCCACCAGTTTCAAGCAATTGCCGCGAAGTCCTAATTCTTCATTATGGTGTAATAATTTGAGACTTTATTCTTATTACCTATTCATCGAATTTCCAATATTAACAGAGGTCTTCAAATGTGGATGTCTGCTTAAATTGTAGCCATATAGAAAACGAATTTTTGATTAATTTTAAGAAAAAGTTATTTATGAAAAGTATTACGTGATCTGAAGCATAGATTGCAACCAAGAGATATATTTTTTAAATGGAGCAAAAAATTTGATTCAGGCTAAATAGTAAAGTGGCTCTTTCGGCAATAACGAAAAAGTTCTCAGAATTGAAAAGTACAGTCAAATCCGCGATTTATCCAATTCACCATGAAACAACAGACTTTACACATTTGTTAAATTTAGTAACAGAACGTTAGTGTCTCGTTTATTAAAAAAACGTGATCACCTTTCAGGATCTTGGTAATTTTGCAACTTAAATTCGTCGCAAAGAGTTAAATTGCACACGATAAATGGAATCCAGAGGAATAGTTTGTTGTGGAAATAGGTAAATGATGATGTATCGTTTATTGAAATAAATATTCATTATTAATGCCATTTTAACTCATTCTGCTAATCCTCTAACTTGTTTTGAACGTTTCATCGTTCTCTTGCCAAATTACCGTAAGTAACACATTTCTTATTATATTCCGAGCAATTTCCTGACATGCTTTTGAAATTTTCCTCTCAGTGTAAAATGGTTCGAGCTGATAAACTTCCTGCTTCAAGTATACCCATCAGAAGAAATAGCTCTCCATATCTAATTAAATTGCAAAACTGATAAGTAAGGAACTGAAAGATCATCTTCTTTTTCATATACGAACGACGTACTTTTAAGTTTTGAACAACTTTGTGTTMTAACAAAAAATCTATACATCTGTACGCTTTGTTCAAAAAAGATGTAAAGCAAGGTAAACCACCATTATTCATGTCTTATAAACATAGGGAGATAAATAATAAAGCACATATAACATCTTATAACGTAAGAACGACGATATCCAATGCCAAACTTGACCTTAATTTTTGACACTCAAAATCGGTTTCCAACTTTAGTCGAAAATTGAAAATGTCTAGCTARAATCGGATTTATAGTTTCAGACTATGGCATTCACAAATCATTAACCAMATTATTATTTATTATTACTATTAGCTATGTTTCGGCCAAACTAGAATACATTCATCATCATTTTCTGATTTTTGGAAAGCTTCACTTTTTCGGTACCAAAATTTACCGTTTACAATGGAGTTAAAAGTAGTTTTTTTTCTTCCATTTTATCGAATCGATTTGACCTGGAGTTGATTCGTATTTGTCTCAATATTAATGTCATTTGACACTTTTATTCAATTTTCAAATATTTTTCTCCATAAGGGTCTGTACAAACTTTTCCATCTTTTCCTTGTAACTCACATAGGAATTGTTTTTGAACCAACCAGTCGATTTGTCATGTAACTTTTTAATATCTAACTATAGGTCAAGGAATACATTTTTTTTTTCGTCAAAAGTTTGTTGGGTAAAACCCTCGCGATTTTTTCGAAATTTAAAATTTTTTGTTCGAAAACGAAGCTTTCTATCGAAAAAAACAATTCTTTAAAAAATTTCGGGGTCAGCACTAACGGTTTTCAGCTTTTCAGCTTTCATAGTTTTCGAGAAAATCGCGAAAATATGGTTTCCAAAAAACTGCAAATGTCTCGATTACCAAACGAACTCAATCTAATTAGTCCATTTCGTCTCTTTTGAAGCAAGCGTATAGATGTATAGAATTTTTCGACCTAAATGGTTTTTTCTCAATTTGACTTTGAAATCACTTTGATCCTGACCTGATAGAGGCAAACTGACCGTAGATTTGGATTCAGCTGGTCAAAATACTACAAAATTAAAGTGTCTTAACCCCAAAAAAAATTGGTTGTATGGCTGTGTTATTAACATTTAATTATTGCATTTTACCTTAGATCTTTTTATGAAAAACTACATTTATGATATATTTTCCATATCGGTTACATCTTCAGTAGTCATAATAGTCATACTGCATAGCAGTGAAATATATTTCGAAACTGTGTACTATTTTTGAAGATTCTACTATAATCTCAAATAATTATCGACATTGTTTTTTCTTTGCATTGCAGCATTTGTTGGGATATATTCGATTCAAGTGTAAGTTTAAATCAAACTGTACTAATATAAGGGGCATGTGAAACGATTAATACATATATAATTTTAAAATTAATTTTTAACACAACCCGACAAATGAAACATTGACATCATTTGCAAATTTCGCATTCTTTATAAAAAATGTCATGGTCACTACTTTGACCAAATAAATGTATGTAATCTTTCAATTCATATTTTACAAAATTAGTTAAGAAATTTATAATATTTTATTATTAGGAATTTGTATAAAAGTTTTGGGTATTTTAATGGCGAACGTTGTGAAAAATAAATTTCAATTTGCATCAGGTTCAAAATCAGCCATGACTTTCCTCGTGTCGGTGATAATGTAAATTGTAATATTTTTTACTTATATTTTATATTTGTCTACCAGTGTTTTCGACACACACGTTTGAAAACTATTTCAGAGTTTCTAAATTTTGCGCCGATCTTTGATGATGAGAATATCTGATTAAACCTAACGAAGCAACCGACAAAAGCAAAGGGCTCAGGTGTCAAAATGACGATTTTTCAGACATTTTTAACCGTTTTTGAGCCATAAACTGGACTAAACTAACTATTAAATTAAATTCCAAATCAAAATCAATTCCTGGGCTTTTATTGTCTATTTATCAATTAAAATACGTTTCCGTGTTTTCCACCATCATCAGTTTCTATGTGTAGCGTTGTTGCTACTTTAAGCCTATCTTAAATTAAATCAAACAAGTATTTGTAATGACGTGTGTATGCAAATATTAGCTAAGGCCAAGCGCTTTCGACAATTACTTCATCATCAGGGCCGTCGTCAAATCACAAGCAAACATCCTCAAGAGCATCGAACAAAAACTGGTTAAAACGGCTAAAATTGTGTATGACAAACGAATTGCTCTATCGACAGTATATTCTCTATTCCCGTAGGATCTACCTACGAGAATTATAATTTTGTTACTTTATCGTTTCCGAGATATAAATTATTTTAGATTTTAAAGGTTCTTAATTTTTGCTTTCTACTCAGAGGTTCAAAATTTTCTATTGCTCTTCCTGAGTTGCTTTTCTGTCGGAATAGGAATCGCGATTGTCCCTGCATATTGCACAAATAATAAAAAAAGCAGGGATGGTCAGGAAAAAATGATATTTTTTCCTGCATTTGGCGTAAAAAAAATGGCCGCGTGGCGTCGGTCCAGGAAGTTAAAAGTTGATCGCCTGATTCACAACGCGGCACGTCAGTACATCATTTAAGAAGTTCGGATGGGATTGAAAATAGTTGACAAAACACACAAAAAACCGCATATAAACATTTACTTACTTACTTTTTTACTTCTAGGAAATGTAAATGTTAGTGGCCCAACAACCGTGATCTCTAGAAGAAACAATAACAACAACAACACTAGTGTTACTCTGATAAATCAAAACTCGATAGCTAATCAGCGAATGAGTGTCTTTGAGCCCTATCCAATGAGGGATACCATTCAGGTAGTTCAAAATGTTGTCCGAAAATGTTGTGTATATAAACGTAGATTATTTTAGCATTTTTGTGAAAAACATTTGGACAAAATCAAGTTATACATGGAGAAAGTGTCCTTAAGAATACCATCGCCGGCTAAATGCACTATAGAAGAAAAGAGGCAAAAGAAATCAGCAAAATTGCATTTTGCCTGCCAGGCGAGAGGTCAACATTGTCTATATTCTAAGACGTATTTTACCATGCGAACCCGCAATCCCAGAATTTGGATACATTTAATGTTTATTTCATTGCAGGTATTTTTTATATAATGTAATATGCCGTTTACAGCAGGGCGAAAGTTAATGGAGAGAACAGTAATATTTATATGTATTTTAGGCTCGCCATTCACATGCGTTGAGTTCACGCGATGCTCAAGTGGCCAGCTTGAAGCACTGCTGGGACATTTTGAAAGCTGAGAACAAAACGTTTTTGACTTTAGTTACCAGCGCATTTCCATGCTCAAAAGTAACGTTGTCTCAATCATAATCATCCTCCATTTAACTATAAATTACATTATAGGATCAAGAGGCCTTGCTAAGTGAACTGAGACACGCCGGATACTTCGATGTATTTCAAGTATGCCCACAAAGCATTGGAAGTTCTGTCGACAACTTAGAAGGTAGCGGCCCGTTAAGCACAATTGGCGGAATCCGTTGGGGCTGCTTTCTTTGCGCACATCCTGAACGTGCGATGGGATTTCTAAGAGGTACATTTCAGTTTAATTTAGGTACACAAGTGAAGTACTGGTTTTTACATTTTTATAGGAGACACTCAGCCAGTTATTGAGGGTCAATTAAAGGAGAAAAAGGGTAAATGGCGATTGTTTAGAAGGTGGCGAACACGCTATTTTACCCTCTCTGGTGCACATTTGTCATGTAAAGGATCGGTAAGTTTACGTTAGGATTATACTATAAGCGGCAAAAGTTTTCCAAGTTTTTAATGCGGAGGCATTACATTTTTCGACTACATCATGTAAGTTGGAAAACTGTAATCGAACGGGACAAAAACTGTTCTTTGACTCAAATCACATTCTGAAAATACTCTTCATTGAACAAGGTGTCAGGTAAAAGTTCAGGTACGTCATTGTTGGTCTTGGACGACATAAAGACGTCATATTTCGGACGTCCAAAAGGTCAAACATTCGGACGTCTTTTGGACGTAATGTCTGACGATTAACTGACCATGAGTCAGTTATGGCGTCGAGTCGCTTCCAATGGCAGGCGTGGAACGGGCAACCACAGATCATTAGTAAGTGTGATTTGTGCTCGCGACTCTCGGTATTTTCTTTTCTCTGGGTATTTTCTACTATCATTTAGTTAATATTAGTAGTGAATCATTGAAAATAACTGGTGAGTACTCTCTTATTGTTGTTTGTTTTTTGTTTCCATGGTAACATGTACCCGGTTAACTTGATCTAAACAAAAATAAATTAATTTTCTCCCTTTTTGCAAATAGCTTAGAAAC